TATTATTGACTGTTTTCATCGATGTTTTCATGCACGTGTATCCACGTGTGTGTATATTATACGTCATTAACTTATTAAAATTTTTATTATTAATATTATTTAACCATAATAAATGGGCATGGTCAACGTATCGATCCAGATTCCTTCAAAATTTCGATACCGATACGAATCGATACCGTAAAATATCGTTTGTATCGATAAAATATCGATATATCGCCCACCACTACTATGGAGAAGTAAGTTTACGTGGGAGGCTATGGACGGGGGATCTAAAGAACCGGTCGGATAACGGAATAGACAGGTGGACGCATTAGAGGGACAATTTACTATGTAGTTGAATGAGTAAATGGCTGGGACCAAATGATCTGGTCGCAATAGAAGAGTGGTCTTTATATACAAGTGGTCGTTAAGACAAGTTTCACTGTAATGTATTGTTATTATTCATAACACTGAGTGTGTGAGTGTGGTTTTTGATAATTAAATTTTATTATTTTTATTTTAGAATTGTTCAAAGTTATCTAATCCTGGAGGATCAGTACAATGGCCTAAGAGAAGATATGCTCATTCCAGTGTATTGATTAACACTAGTTCAGGACCACACCTACTAGTGGTGGGCGGATATTATCAAGCTTATGATATTTGGATATTTGATATTAACAATAAATCATGGAAGGAACTGGTAAGTATATTATAATATAATAACAATACATCATAACTGGTTATTATTATGTACTAGTAATCAAGTATTGTACTTATGTATGTTATACTGTATAATGTAAATAATTAATAATTACTGAAAGAATAGTTTACATTAATAATACAACACTATATTGGTTTAGGGTGTGGCTTATAGTTTGTGGGTGTGGTTTGTATAATACACACAATACAGTATTGAGGAATGGATTCATTAATTTTCATTGATGGAACAAAATAACACAAAAGAAAACGAATAATTAATAATATTAATGTTTCTTCTGTTATAGGTTAATATACCAGACAGTGTCGCTAATAGATGGTATCATTCTCTCTCAGTTTGGAGTGTGACTCCAACCACTAACTGGATAATTGTGTTTGGAGGAACGAGTGACTTTTCAACACCAATAAGTGATCCAGCAGTTATTGAACTCAGTGAGTACATGTAAATACAAATGTATTGAATACCCCGTAGGACGATTTATATTCGCGACTGCTAATATTCGCGAATATAAATCGTCCTACGGTATACACAAGGCAGATATCACAAGGCAGATATCACCAGATTTGCTTTAGTAAAAGCACAGTTCCCCATGCTG